CATACCTGGTTCAGGGATCAGCCAAGGAGTTAAGGGGAATTTATACACAGGTTTTGGGGCACCCCTTTGTGGCAACTTCTTTTTGAGCTTTCCTTTCTTTTTTTTTTTTTTACAGAGGAGAGGATATAAGTTTATTTATTTATTTTTCCCCAAAGCCCCAGTAGGTAGTTGTATGTCACAGCTGCACATCCTTCTAGTTGCTGTATGTGGGACGCGGCCTCAGCATGGCCAGAGAAGCGGTGCGCCGGTGCGCGCCCGGGATCCGAACCCAGACCGCCAGTAGCGGAGCGCATGCACTTAACCGCTAAGCCACGGGGCCGGCCCAGTCCTTCCCTTTTTAAAACAGCTTTATTGAAGTTTGAAGGCCCCTTTTGGCAATTCTATGCTAATTTTTATACTAGAATTAGCAAGCTAGTATGCACGTGTGTGTGTGTGTGTGTGTGTGTGTGTGTGTAAAATATTGGAATAGATCTAGAGTTACAGCTTAAAAATAGGCATTTGGTCTGGTTTATACTTGAAAAGGGAGTATCATTCAGGAAATACTGCAGTACTAAGAGGAAAATCTTATAGAAATAAAATCCTTATTTTCTTTAAAATTCTGGCCTTCTCATACAGAATGCATAATTTACCTTTAACAAGCTCTTATTAGTCATAAAAGTTTGGAAAGCTGCCATCTTGAAGGTTTGTAGTTCATATTTTATTAAGCAGACATGGCTTTCTTCATTCTTTGTTACACACCCTCACTTTTCGTAAATTTTGTTTTTAAGTTGATATGTGGAGATGTTACTAATCTTTTAAAAGAGGGTCAGAGGAGGTTTTGTCTGTATTTTAATTCTTTAATATCTGGCTTTATGGAGATGAAGGAGGGGAAAGAAATCTGTATTCTTAAAAACTTGGCTTCCTGACAGTGATTTCGCAGGTTAGGGGTGAGAGAGGGTGAGGATGACCAAAGTGTGCGTGTGTGGTTTGAAAACAAAGCCGTATTTTGTACAATTGCTTTGATTTGTTTTTAGTTACATATTTAATTTATATTGATTCTAAATAAAGTCAAAGAGACCATCTATTTTTAAGTTTAAGAAAGGAGTGGGGGTCACATGGTGTGTAGAGATTGAGGAACACTAGTACACATAATTAATTCTGGAGAGAATTGCCCCACTTGACACAGAATGTGAAGATCACATGGAGGATTCAGGAAAAAAAGAATTCAGGTGATATCCTTGATGTCTTATAAAACTATTGCAATTACAGTATATTACACTGTATGGTATACTCTGACAGTATATTACTATAGTTTATTGTACACACAGTATAACGTAGTGTACTATATTACAAATAAAGGTTTTCAGACAGCTTATAATTATTGGTTTAATTTTAGAACTGGGTTTATCAGGTAGAAATCTTAAAGCTGCTTAATTGATATCCCATAAAAATTATTGAACTTTATTATTGATTAATTTTAATTAAAAATTTGTCAGACCTTTCATTGTGATAGGTAAACTAATGTTCTCCTAAGGATGTTGTTGATGCTATATTATTTATTCCTTCCATAAATATTTATTGAGAACTTACTTTGGGTTACACTTCTTGTATTAATGAATTTAAAGTTTTACTGTCTTCTATAAGCTTATTTCAGAATTCTCACAACATTAGATGCTTTTGGTATTTTACTTGAGTCTACCTAAGAATGGTGAAAATTTAGTTTCTCTTTTCCTTTATGAGTCCTGTAGAAGTTTTAATAAACAGGTATGTGTTAAAACCTTCTATCAGGAATGCATAAATGTTTTGTAATGTTCTTCAATGAAGAGACATTAAAAGTTGGCAAGTTTACTTTCTTAGAATGCTGAGAGCATTAAAGTTTTATTCACTTGGTAGTTGTGTCAGCTACAAATGGTAACTCAAGTTGTTTTGTTTTTAAAACACGTGAGTCTCATTCTTCTTTCAGCAACATAGGTATATATTTTTAAAATTACTTGCAAATGCCTAGGTAAACTTTTTTTTTTCACGAGGAAGATTACCCCTGAGCTAACATCCGATGCCAATCCTCCTCTTTTTTTTTTTTTGTTTTTTGGGTTTTTTTTTGGCTGAGGAAGATTGGCTCTGGGCTAACATCCATGCCCATCTTCCTCTATTTTATATGGAACACCGCCACAGCATGGCTTGACAAGCGGTGCATCGGTGTGTGCCTGGGATCTGAACCTGCGAACCCCGGGCGGCCAAAGCAGAGCACGCACACTTAACCACTGCGCCACTGGGCCAGCCCCTAGGTAAACTTTTTTTTGTAGAAAGATATTCAGAGTTAAAGTAATTTTTTAAATTCTATGAGAAACATGGTTTTAAAGACGTTGAGAGAAGTGATCTGTCCCTTTACTCATGGCTACGGTTCACCATATTGTGAGCTCTGCAAGGGCAAGAACAGCGTCAGGTTTTTTTATTCTCCCCAAACGATCACAGATACGATGTTCAATCAATAAATGGATTGATCTCTATTTAAGGGTATGGCTTAGGGGGGTCTATTTGCAGGTGTTCAACGTTTTATTATGAAAATGTTAAGCATACAGCAAAGTTGAAAGAATTTTGCAGTGTATACCCATATACTCACGATCTAGCTTCTGCCATTAACATTTTACTCCATTTGTTTTATCAACATCTGTCCATCTGTATGTCTCTATATCTTTTGATTAATGTATCTTATTTTTGGTACATTTCAAGGATTTTTCTGGACTCGCATGGAAGCAAATTTGTATTTGGGTTCATAGTTTGAATTGGTGAAAGAGAGGGTGATGAGGAGTCAGTTTTAGGTATCAGATATAACTCTGTTACTAACCTCATATGATGTATATTGATAAATTATGATTTCTTGCTAATGTTCCTAGGATTTTAATATTACTTCTGCGTTTAGTATAATCTTCTGATAGAAATTCCTCAGTTGCCGACTGTCATGGTAGTATGAATGCCGATTGTGGATGTTTACTGTTGCCATACAAATAGCTTTAATGTTATTTCACATGAAACTTCATCTTTCATATCTTTTCTGCTTAGGAGTAGCCCATCGAAGCCAGAGCAGTGAAGGAGTCAGTTCTCTCAGCAGCTCGCCCTCCAATAGCCTTGAAACACAATCTCAGTCTCTGTCACGTTCCCAGAGCATGGATATTGACAGTGTCTCTTGTGAGAAAAGGTAAAGGAAGCCAATTTTCCAATAAGTTATTTTATTTATGGAAAGGGAAAGATCCATTCACCTTAGTCTCTGCTCTAGTAGTCACAAATGCCAGCCTAGAGATCCATGCAGTCCTTAGCAAATTAGAGCGAAATTTATTAAATTTTAAGGTCTTTGTATTATTCTGAAACGTTCTTCATACCTTTTTATGTTTTTGGTGTTGAAATGTCTTTTATGAAATAATGGTGTAGGTGGTAAAAAATGATTTTTTTAAATGTCCTTATTTTGTAAATAGAAAGTTGGCAAGCATATGTCAGTCCGTAAAATTTCTTCTGAGTTTTACTGATGGGCGAAATATAAAAGTTTGGAAAGGTACAGACAGGTAAGCCAAATACCCTAGGAGCTCCATAAGGATCAGGGTGTCCTAGAGCAGAGCCTTCCTATGCTGCAAGTGTGCCGTGAATGGGTGACAGAGTGGCTGAGATGTTGATTCCTTTATTCCTTGGGCAAGCCAGACCCCACCCCCCCACCCCCAGGACCCATCTCCTCTACCCTCAAGCAGCCCCCTCTGTTTATGTCAGTGGGCGAGACAAACACCATTTTCTATGTGTGTTATGATGTGAAAAAGGTTGAGCACTGGTATAGAGCTTCAGCACTTGGTGGGTTTGGGGCGAGGAGCCAGATCAGAGATAACCCCCCATCAGGCAAGAATTCAGGAACGGCTATACTTTCAGGGAAAAGATCAAGTAGAAAAAAAAATCAATCCCCTAGAGTAAAAACAATTGTGTTTTTATTACCTTTGCTCTGAGTAGACATATTTTTTAAAAATCAAGTCAGCTCTGCAATTTCATGGCCAGTAGGTGACTTTCATATGTGTTTAGCACCTAGTTTACACTATTGGTGTAGTCTGAAAAACCTCAAGCCAAGAACTGTCATACAATGGACCCAGGCCTGCACTGCCTTTAGGCATCTAGGAGAAGCAAACATAAATCATTCAAGTCCTCAGAGAATTTCCTTAAAAAATTTCCAAGAAATAAGAGCTCACGGTCAAAAATCACAAAACGCACTAGAAAAAAGCCATCATGAGTAAGAGTCAGCAGAATCACTAACAACAGAATTATTCATTTAAAGATTTGGGGGTTTTGGAATTATCAGTTACAGAATACAAAATATGTATGTTTAAATAAATTCAAAAGGGATTTGAAAACATGAATAAGGGGCAAGTGACTATAAAAACAACCAAGCACATATGAAAAAGAAGCAAAAAGAATTTCTAGAAATGAAAAGATAATAATTCAAACTGAAAACTTGATGTAAGAGTTAAACAGTGGATTAGACATAGCTAGAAAGAATTAACAAATGGAATGATAGAGCTGAAGAAATTACCCAGAGTGCACCACAAAGAGAAAAAGAGATGAAAAATATGAAAGATGTTTAGAGATATAGAGGGCACAGATGTAATATATATCTAATAGAAATATCAAAATGAGAGAATAGGGAGACTTGGAGAGATTCCCCACCCTCCTCCTTATTCCGTGTTTCTTCCTCTACTGGTTTGGCAGCCATTATCAAAAAGATAAATGGCTAAGAATTTGTCTAGAGTTGATAAGTGACATGAATCCTCAGATTCAGGAAGCCCAGCAACTCGCAAGCGGGTTAAACAAAGAGAAATTCATATCTAGACATTTTATAGTAAAATTGCAGAACACCAAAAACAAAGACCTTTAAAGCAGCCAGAGAGAAAGGAGGGCTTACCTACAAAAGAGTGACAGTTAGATGTCTCAGTGATGGAAGCCATAGGGTGGTGGACATAATGGCATTAAATGCTGAAAGAAAGTGACTGTCAACTGGGAATTGTGTACCCTTGTGGAATTATCTTTTAAGAGCAAGGGTGAAATAAAGACATTTATAGATTTAAAAAACAAACAAACCAAAAAACAAAAACAACCTGATAGTCTGCCACCAGAAGACCCCAACTTTTAACAGATGTAGTTTAAGAAGAAGGAAAATGATCTCAGGACTAATGTCTGAGATGCAAGAAGGAAGGATGAGTGAAGAAAATAATAAACGTCGTAAATCTAAACAAACGCTGATGGTATAAAACAATAATAGTGTATAAAATAATATTGGGGAAGAGAAGTAAAAAAAATCAGATCTAACATAGTAGAGAGCAATAGCAGGTAAGTGGGAAGGGAGGTGATAAGAGCAAGGTCCTTGTGTACATGGGAGAGGGGTGAAGATACTGGCCAGCTTTTAGATTTTGAGTTAAGAATACTTGATAAAATTTCAAGGGTAACCACTAAAAGAATAGAAGGAGGATATATCTTCCAAACCAGTAAAGGGAAATTATGGAACAGGGGTGAGGAAGTGGGGGGATTTAAGTCAATTCAAAGAAAGAAACCATATTTTAAAAAAGAGACAAACAGCACAAAATTAGATGGTTAAAAGAAATGAGAATATGTCAGTAACCACAGTAAATCACAGTGAAAAAGCTTAGGTTGGATTAAAAGCAAAACAGTACCCAGCTTTATCCATTTATGGAAGGCATACCTGAAACATTAGGTTACAGAAAGGTTGAAAGTAAAAGAAAGAGAAAAGATATACTAGGATAATACTTAACAAAAGAAAATTGGGGTGAACATATTCATACACTAGACTTTAAGGCACTAAGTAGAATAGAAATAAGCTAGAAAGAAGCACTATATAATGATAAATGTTTAGTTTACCAGTAGGATATAACAGTTTCCAAAGTATATGCACTTAGTAACGTAACAGGCACAGGTAATAAAGCAAATATTGATAGAACCAGAAGAAACTGACACATACATAATCATAGTGGGAGATTTTTAACATGACTTTTCAGCCATCGATAAATCAAAGAGAATAAACATCAGTAAGCATATGGACAAATTAAACAACACAGCTAACAAGCTTGATTTAATTGAAAGATACAGAACTTTGTGCTCTGCGGTTGGAGAATACACATTCTCTTCTAATACCCATCCACCAAAAAGAGTCAGAATCATACAGATCATGTTTTCTGACTAGTACATTAGGTTAGATAATCAATATAGGAAAAAAACTTTTAAAAAACTCTCATACACTTGGAAAATTTAAAAACAGCATGCTTCTAAATACAGGTGAAAGAAGAGATCAGAATGGAAATTGGAAAGTATCTAGAACTGAACAATAACAAATATTTCATGTCATAATTTGTGTGTAATAGCTAAAGTGATCCTTAGAAGAAAATATAAAGCTGTAATGTATTAAAAATGTCAAAAAAAAAAGAGGGTACTACAAATAAATATTGGGAATAAAAACCCTTTTCTTGGTATACTATTGCCCTGGATATGTTCTTGGCTAACCTCCCTTATATTTTGGCTCGTATGGCATTTCTCAGAGAGGCTCACCCTATTTAAAATGGAAAGCCCTGCACTCTCAATTGCCTTTTCTCTCCTCTGTTTTCTTTAATTTTTCCATAGTATTTATCATTATACTACATGCTTTGCTTATTTATTATGTTTATTGCTTATTATCTTTCACCTTGTAACTAGAATATAAGCTCCAAGACTCAGGGATTTTTTTTGTCTCTTTTGTTCATTGACATCTCAGGCATCTAGAACGATACCTACATAGAATGGACTCTCAGTAATAATTGTTATTGAAAAAGAGAATGCCATGAAAAATATAAATATGCAAAATAGAAATAAATTTGAAAATTTAGATGAAAATCAAATCCTAGAAAAACATAATTCTCCCAAAATTGACTCAAGAAGAAAGAGAGAACATGAATAATCAAAAACCATGAAATGAATCAATATTTTAAAATTTTCCAGAGCCAGCCCTGATGACCTAGTGGTTAAGGTTCGTGCACTCTGCTTCAGCGGCCCAGGTTCAGTTCCCCGGCACGGAACCACACCACTTTTTTGTCAGTAGCCATGCTGTGGCGGCAGCTCACGTAGAAGAACCAGGAGAACTTACAACTATACACAACTATATACTGGGGCTTTGCGGGGGTAGGGGGGCAGGAAGAAAAAAGGAGGAAGATTGGCAATAGATGTTAGCTTAGGGCAAATCTTCCCCTGCAAAAAAAATAATAAATTTGCTAAGAAAGCACCTTGCTCGTATAATTTTCTAGGTAAGTCTGCCATTTCAACTTGATACAAATTTTCCCAGATAATTAAAAAAAATAGAGAACACTTACCAACTCAATTTATGAGGCTAATATGACCTTAATATCAAAACCAGATAAGAATAATATAAAAGAAGAAAATTAATTACATGATAATCATACTCATAAACATCTTTGCAAAAATCTTAAAATATTGACAAATCAAATACTTGCAACACATAAAAAACAGATATATATGGGGCTAGATGCCAGGTTACTGTGAGCCAGTGTAGTAGTGATTGGAACGGTCATAAGGGGGGATTTTGGGGTGCTGGTAATGTTCTATTTCTTGATCTAGGTGCTAATTACATTAGTATGTTGCCTTTGTGAGACTATTGAGCCAAATACACTTGATCATCTATGCATATTTCTGCATAAATATTTCAATTAAAAGTTTAGTTAAATATAATATAACAACATAACATGATCAACTTGGGTTTGTCTCAAGAATGCAATAACTCTAATGCTTTAACATTAGAAAATGTATAAGTATCATTCACCACATTATATATTAAAGAGAAAAGCTATATAATCTTGGTAGTTGCAAAAGTTTGATAAAATCCAATGTTGATTCATGATAAAAATCCTAGCAAACAGGAAACAGGAAGGTGCTTCCTTAAACTGACAGTATGGCAGAGACAGAGTTCACCAGATATTCCATATGCTCCCCTGCATTTCCAGTCTTCTTTGCAGTTAGGTTGGGGCCAAATAATTGGTTCTGTCCAATAGACTGTGAGTGGAAGTGACGTGTCACTTTTAGGCGAAGGCAGTTGAGCCGATATTCCTCCTCCATCCCTCTCTTCTCTTGCTCCAGTGACCTTGGAGGCTGTGTATTGCAGATGGCATAGATTAAAGATGGAGTAAGGATGCTTCACTCTCATCAGACTTTGCGTAAGCAAGAAATAAACCCTTATAGTGTTAAACCTCTAAGATTTCAGAGTGTCTGTGTTACCAAAGCATAGCCTGTCTTATTCTGATTAACATAAAGGACATCTACCAAAAACCTACAGCAGCTCTCATATTCAGTGGTGAGAAATTAGAAACACTCTTTAAAATCAGGAATAAGAGCAAAGATGACTGCTGGTTTCTGCTTCTATTCCACATGGGGATCCTACCCAGTGCAGTGAAACTAATAAGAATTGGAGTGGAAGAAACAAAACAGTTATTATTTGGAGATGAAATGATTATCTACCTGGTAAACCCTGTGTATAAGTAATCAAGTTGCTTATAAGATGTCTATACCTAAAACCAGTTACATTACTATGTACTAGTAACAAAAAATTAGAAAACCTAATTTTTAAAAAGGTACTATTCATAATTTCATTAAGAAATATATTGTACCTACATACAAATTTACTGAAAGAAGTGAAAGACTTAAGGAGAAAATTATAAAAGTTTATTGAAAGACCTTAAGGAAGGCCTAAATACTTGGAGAGAGATACCTTCTTCATAGATAGACTCCATAACATAATGACATAGTTTCTCCCCAATAGAGTCAATGAAATTGTAGTCAGAAACCCAACAGGAATTTAAGAACCTGTCAAGCTGATTCTTAAGTATGTGTGAAAGCCCAAAGGGCCAAGAATGGCCAAGATTCTTGAAGTAGAAGAACAAAGTGGAGGCATTGACCTAGCAGATATCAAGACTTATTGTGAAGTTTTAATAAGTAACATAGAGTGGTATTGGCTCAGGGACAGACAGATGGTCTAATAGAACAGAAATGAGCATCCAGAAATAGACCCACACGTATATGATGTATATAACATAGAGGATTTCATATTAGTATAAAAAGGATGGTCTTTTCAATAAATAGTGCTAGGACAATTATTTATTTAATGTGGGGAAAAAGAATATATATGTTTAACCAGATTTTATAATCAGGCTCTGATTGATGGTATAACATTTAAAAATAATATGTATAGAAAATCTGCTCTAATTATTACCGTTGTTTTTTCTTTGGAAAGTGAGCCTAAGAAAATGACAACTTGGGGAAAATATTTCCAACAAGTATGATAGACGGAATGTTTATATCCTAATATATGAAGAACTCTTAAAAATTAATCAGTAAAAAATAAACCTTTATTATTTTGCTTTCCTAACTGCTTTTGATTGATACTTTAAAACTCTTCCTCAACCAGCAGCTATGACATTGGGTAGATTTATAAAAAGTGAAAGATGTATTTGTCTTTTGTACTTAAAGCATGTCCCAGGTGGATGTGGATTCAGGAATTGAAAATATGGAGGTTGATGAAAATGATCGAAGAGAAAAAAGGAGCCTCAGTGATAAGGTTGGTAAGAGATGAAGCCCTTGCTTCTGTTTTTAGTACAGGTAATATAAATAAACACTGTTTCACGTCTTGCATCTTTAGCCTGTTAGCGTGGGCCACCCAAAATCAGCAAGTCCAATTTAGGTGATTGTTTTTTTCTTTTGAGGAAAAATGGGTAGCCTAGATTGCCCTTATTAATGGAAGTATAACTCAGTCCTTTTATCTGATAAAATCCTTCAGTTATCTTTGTTTCAGGTTCATGTTTTTATCAGTGAATTTATTTTGTAATAGGAATTAACTAGAGCTAATTCGAATTTTTTTCTGTTGGTCTTTTGCTTAAGCAAGTAGGTCATCATGCTTTTGGTAGTAGTCTGAGGAAAATGACTGGGAATTGAAGCAAGAATATGTGGAATCCAGTAGCAAGTAGAAGCTTTTTGAAAACTTCTGAGGTCTTTGTATTTTATTACCATCTGAGCTTAGTTCCCTATATGTAAAAGAAGGGGTTTTTTGGCCATGGTGTAGAACTGGTATAGGTAATTGCATCGCTTTCTGATCAGTGAATTATTAGTGATCAGCAGCATGTGTTGATGATTATTAGAAGTTGGACTATAGCCTCCTGGTGGTGCGATGCTTTATTTTGTACAGTTCTTTAATGTTTACAAAGTTCTTTTATATATGATATTTTATCTGTGATAGAAAGTTGTGAGAAACATTAAATTCTGGAAAAGGTCCTGGAGGAATATTGGTTATGTACCTGGAGTGTTAACCTGGTCCTTTGGCATTCAGAAAAGTAAATAAATAAGATAGATGTACATTCTTTATCACATTTCCTCCGTGATGATTCCTGATAATGATCTTGCTCTTTTATACTCCCCCTTATAGATTGTGTTGTAAGCTCATAGACCTACATGTTGTAACTTTGAAGTCATAGAAACAAGTTTATTCTTCCCTAAATCAGTGGATGAATAGTTCTATGTGTTTCTAAAATATCCTCATTAATAAAGGAATTAAATCAGAATTCAGTATTTCTATTGAAGTCTAACTAATCCCTCCTACTACTTGAAATTAACTTCCAAATCTTCTTCCTTTCAAGGAGCCTTCATCAGGTTCTGAAGTGTCTGAAGAACAGGCCTTACAGCTGGTCTGTAAGATCTTTCGTGTCTCCTGGAAGGACCGGGACAGAGATGTCATCTTTCTTTCTTCTCTTTCTGCACAATTTAAGCAGAACCCAAAAGAAGGTAGGAATCTAGCTCAGCTGTCTTATTTCGGAGTTCTAAAGAGAAACAAGAATGGAAGATCTTTTGTCCTTCTCTGTTATCCACATTCACTCTATCTTGCTTCAGGGTTGTAATTTTGATTACAGGGATACTTCTTGATGAGGACACTGCTGTTCAGCTACTTTCCATTGATCTTATTGATAAATTATTTTTTTATTTTTATGATTTCTCTAAAAGAAAACTACATAAATAAGTTAATGGTCTGTGTTGTCTCAGGGTTGAAGTTTTTTCCTTTGCAGTAAGAAGGTGATTAGAGAGAGCATTAGTGCGTCTAATAAAGTGGGAGTATACTCGGTAGTCTCCGGGGATCCTGCAAGAGGCACTGTGTATGGCCTATACCTGCTTTTGGTGCCTACCAGGTCATGTGTAGACAGTGGAGTAAATCTGCTTGATTAAATTGCTTAGCAAGATGGAACATATTGATATTTTGCAGGATTCTATAGTAAGAGACTACACTAAACCACGCTTATAACAAAGTAATAAAACTCTTAGCAAGATAGGAGGATCGCAGGGCACTGTCACTTTTCTTTATGGCAGTCATTTGGAATACAGAAGAGGTAGGGGAGATGTGCTGGAGAATTATTTTGCATATCACGAAAATATAACCTCTCTGATAGCAGGAATTTTGTCTGTTTTGCTCACTGATGTATCCCTGGTGCCTAGAAGAGTGCCTTGCACTTAATAATCCCTCAATAGATATATTTTAAATGAATGAATGAACATCAAGGAGATCACCTTTCCCTTTCCTCTGCTGCCTGTCTTCCATGGCAAAAAAATAGTCCCCTATGTTACTGCAGTTGGCTAGTTAACTTCTGATTTTAGTGGGATCTTCTTATTAACTGGTTACAGAGATGAGCTTAGCAACTGTGTGTTTCAAAACCCTGCCACTTGTTATTCTTTTTGTAAATCTTAAGATTCTCAAATCTGTCTTGTACATGTATAAGTCGTAATTTTTAATAACCAAATAAGATTTATATGGGTTAGAACTTTATTTAGTGATATTTAAAAAGTATGTAAAAACCCTCAGTGAAGCATTTGGAAGCTGCCAAGAATAAGAAGGAAGGTAGAAAATAGAATCTACTCCAGAAAACTGGATGGTGACTAAATATTAGACCCTACATAAAATATTTTGAACTCGTACTTAATAGTTTTACTGTATACAAAACATATATAGGTGAAGAAATATTAACCCACTTGCATTTCTAGTATGATAAACTAACCTCTGTATTTGGGAGTAACTTCTTTTTATAGTTAATATATATCAACAGTGACTCTCATTGACTATGCTGCAGTTTTTTAAAAATTTTTTTGTGAGCAGGATTAGCCCTGAGCTAATATCTGTTGCCAATCCTCCTCTTTTTGCTGAGGAAGATTGGCCCTGAGCTAACATCTGTGCCCATCTTCCTCTACTTTATATGTGGGACGCCTGCCACAGCATGGCTTGATAAGCAGTGCATAGGTCCGCACCCGGGATCCAAACCTGCAAAACCTGGGCTGCTGAAGCGGAGCACATGAACTTAACCACTACACCACCAGGCCAGCCCCATCCAATTTTTTTTTTAATAGCCTTTGTATTTTGGAATAATTTTAGATTTACAGAAAAGTTTTAGAGATAATACAGGAAGTTCCTGTGTACACTTCTCCCAGTTTCCCCTAATGTTAACATCTTATATAACCGGAATATATTTGTCAAAACTGCTAACTAAACTCGTCAGACCTTATTTGGATTTCACCAGGTTTTCCACTGTGTCCTTTTACTGTTCCAGAATCCAATCTGGGTACCACATCGAGCCTCTCTGGTTCAGTTCGGCTTATTCAAGGACTGTGTGTGTGAAGAACCACATGTAATCTCTTCTTTATTCTGCCTTTCCAACAGTGTTCTCTGATTTTAAGGACTTGATTGGCCAGATTTTAATGGAAGTGCTAATGATGTCCGCTCAGACCAGAGATGAAAACCCATTTGCCAGTCTGACAGCCACATCACAGCCAATTGCAGCGGCAGCTCGGTCACCAGACAGAAATCTCATGCTAAATACTGGCTCCAATCCAGGAACAAGCCCCATGTTCTGCAGTTTGGGTTCCTTCAGTGCCAGCTCTTTGTCTAGGTCAGTCTGGTTCTTTTTGCACATCTAATTGGTAGTAAATAGCCATGAAGTATGTAAGAGAAGGGAATGTTCATTCCCGAGCTTGTGTCATGCATTATGGCATGTATCATATTTGGGGGATGGATTTAGTCATTGCAGGAGGTATTGTCTTTTCCAGATTGGTCTCTTTGGCTTTCCACAGTTAGGCTATTGGTAAATTAAGTTTTAGAAACAAATGGCTGAACATAGTACATTATTCTTTGAAAAGAGGGTTTTATCATATTTTAAATGTAGCCTCTAGATTCAGTACAGCAATTAGATTATAATTATTTAGATGAGTATTTAAAAGATTTGTATACTTGAATACTTAGCAATATAAAGTATAATGATACAATTCTTTAAAAGCTTGATAGTTTCCATTTTAGTTATTTATCTCAAGTTTTTCTTCAATTTTCTCTTCTCTCCTCCCTTTCTCCACTAATTTAGCCTCTATGAAAGTAGTCCAGCTCCCAATACGAGTTTCTGGAGCTCTTTGCCAATGATGAGTCCATCTTTTGCCTCACCTTCCCGTGCAGCCAGCCAGATGGCTGTGGCTTCCATTTCCCTCAGTCCTCACAGTGCAGCCGGGACTGCTGCAGGAAGCCAGCCCTCATCTCCGCGCTATCGCCCCTACACTGTCACTCACCCCTGGGGGTCTTCAACTTCTCCTACCCCACGTTCCTCAGGCACCTCCATTCTGTCTAGCTCACTAAGCCTCCCTGCCCTCACTAGTAGCCCTCAAGCAGTGCCTGCCAGCTCTTCCAGACAGAGACCCACCAGCTTGGGGCCGCCTTTACTGTCCGCCTCACCCAGTGCCGTGAGCAGACGTCCCTCCTCCCTAAGGATTTCTCCTAGGTATTTATTCAGCAGGAGAGTTGGGTGTGTGTTTGCAGTGCAGGGAAAGGAGATTAACACGTTTTGGAAGAATTGTTGCGTGACACTGACCTCAGTTACATGTGTTTTTTCTGGTTTGGGTTATTAACCCTTGTGTCTAACTAGTATAGTAGGCTTGCACCCTAGTCCATGCTTCTGCCAGCTTTGATAACATCAGAAAGTATGGGTTGCTCTGTTGTGAGTCCCTTTCTTCCCTTCTTTCCCCTCACTCTTCCTTCTTCTTGTACAAAAAAAGTAACTTAGTTTTTTGAAATCGAGTTCACATGTCATTCTTCATTACAAATGAATTTCAGAGACTGTGGGCAGTTCATATTTGAGAGTTGGGGCTCACAGGACCACTTTTCAACTTTTTGTACTGTTGCCAGTCACAGTTGAAATACAGTCAGAGCAAGGGGTTGTGGAAGCAAATCTGGGCCTCGTGTCCATTACTTTCAGTCACTGAGGCTAGGCCAGTGTTTGTGCCTTGACACTTTGATTTCCACCTCTTAGAAAGAAGCGGTATCAGAATTCCATCAATCTAGTGCCCTCCCTCTCAAATGTACCTATGCATTTCTGTAATGTAGGTGTATTATTTTGCTGCATGTCAGTAGACAAAACTTTTAGCATAAGATTTAATTAAAAAGGGACAGCAGTTGCAAAAGCTTTCCCCTCCTTGTTTTTCCTTTGTTCCCTGATACCTTTTTTGCTTTTGTTGTGGTAGTATGTACGACAATCCTTTCTCCCTCCTCTTCCTGGCACTTTCTGGGGACAGTAGTGACGAAGATAAAGAAGATGATGATGATGGTGATGATGAAGGTGGTGGTGGTGGTGATGAGTTTTCTTGTGTCCAGTTTGGGTCCAGGTATCAGAGGAGTGGAGTCTTACCCCTGCATGTGCACAGGTGCTTAGGAACTAACTTTTATAAGCTCTAATTAGAGGTGTGCTTTGAATCCAAGCAGGATAGGGTCAGGTGACGTGACCTGGAGAGTCAAGATGTGAGAAACTTGCATGTACTGAAATGTTAGGACCTTCTCATGGGGTAAAGTGGCACATAGGAAAATTTTCATAGTTGTTGCCTGGTAAGTTTTGGGGAAAACTTATGTATAGTCATTTGTCAGAAACATGAACAGATTAAAGATCAGTCATCAAGTTCACTCACCCTTAGATCTAAAATGAGGAACCCTCCATTCATCTTTTGCGAGAGTGGTCTTGTGAGCTACCAGATGTGAGCAACACGTACCCTGTGAGGCATGTTTTCTTATTTACAGTTGCATGGATTGCTGCTATTTAGGGGCTGGGGCGTGTGTGTGCGCACTCGCGCGCACGTGTGTGTGAATGTGTCGCCCCAGCACAGTCTGGGCAGTCCATTGAAGAGCATATGGGATCATACTATCTGATGTAACTGTGATTCTGCTTTCACTTCTGAACTTAAATTTTGCTGATCACCCGCTTGACTTCAGTGAAGCTAGACCCTGTTTGTTTAGATGGCCTTTGGAATGGCAGCAGAGGCTAAAACATAGTTCATGTTCACCCCAAAAACCAAGAGAAAAAGACTACTTGGGTTTTCTAGGTGACTTTGAGCAAGAAAATATAATAGCACCTTCCTTCTGACCTTCTGACTCATTGTCTTACAATTTTGCTCTTAAATTGAAGTTTCCTCTGGACTGGGTTGGTATGTGTGTCCAGCACTGTTCAAAAATAACTCCATGCTATAAATAGACGGCAGTAGGAGGTAGGTACACTTCATTAAATTTGACCGTGTTCTTAAGAATCATTAGAGAGTATATAAAGAGAGTGAGGAATGTTGGTGCAAGGTTGAATATTGATTCACGAAGGTTGATATTTGTATTAGGTTTAACGTTTTATCACTGTTTTTCGAGTAAATTTCCCAAAGGTAGAAGTGTCTTTTTCATGCAGATAAAATCCTATTGCAGATTATAGTACTGCATCAGGCATCCTTGTTGGGCATCAATTTCTATACATGATAAAAGTGCTTTGTTATCTGTTTACTGTGAATTATTATGGGAGAAATGCTCTCTCTCTCTGGCCTATTTAATTCCAACTTTCTCTAAAAAAATATCAGATCGTGTGCTGCTTTTACTAACATCTCTCTTTCTTTACTTCTAACATCCCAATCTTGTCTCAGGTCTAGATTCTATCTTACAAGGAGAAATAAAACTTACGGATTGTGTAATGATACCTGCAAATACTTATTGAGCATCATGTGCCAGATACTATGTCAGCAGTCTGCGTACATTATCCCTTTAATCCTCACAGCAGTGCTTCTGGTTACCATGAGGAAACTGGGGTATAGGGAAGTTTGTCCATAACTAGTCCGTGGCAGAGCCCGAGTCCAGACCTCACGTGCTTCACCACCACACTGTGCTGTCCCTGGCTTTTCCATTTATGCCCAACAGGACTTGTGGTGTTCTTGTTCCTTACTAGTTATTTTTCTGCCGAATCTTTATGCATCTACTCTGTTCCTTGGCAAGGAAAATGCCAGCATTTTACTCCTTAATTACAAAATTCCATTCCAGTCAGTTGGCAGGTCCTTTACTGGCTGTTAAAGTGAAATCTGATCTTTCCAGATTTTGGCAACTTATAGATTCTGAATAGATACCAAAAAGAATGTAAAAGGATGGGTAAAAATACATAACTGATTAAACAAATAGAGAGGAACTTGAGAATGCATGTAGGGTCAGAACCAAGAAGAGGTGGCAAAAACCTTATTAATTTGAGCGATCAGCAAATACTTTTTCCCCCCATCTTTTTAATTGATCTTCTCAGAATTTTATTTACTTTGAAGTAAGTTTTTACTCTCACTTCTTTTAACACTCACTTCTTGCCTGGTAAGATTAATGTCATAGAAGAAGGAATCAGCACGGGTCGTATCTGTCTCCCCTCTGCTTGCTCAGTGGAGTTGATGTATTGCTCATCTTTTTGGAGGGAGTTGGAACATACCTTCATATGTTAACTGTTTATAGTGGTGATGAGAAGATTTAATTTAAGAAAGGTAAAACATTCCTTCTATGATGTTCTGCAGTCCTTTGTGAAAAGAGCTGTATGAATTATAAGGAACTACTTGCAGGAGTGGAAATAAGTGAAGTCAGAGAATTCTCTTGTGATCAAGATGACAGAGGAGTTACTCTGAGAAAAAGTGTTCTAATTGTTTCCTAGGAAGGTTGATGACTAGAAGGAAATTTGTATTTTGGGTTTTTTTACTGCTTAGATATTTCAGTGAAGGAGGTCAGATCTTGAAACTCATGAGCCTATGTGAATAAAGGAAAAATTAGCAAATAGTGAAAAACATTGACATTTGCCCTCTTATTTCTGCAGTTGTCTCTACTTGGATATGAAACATGAAAATAGTCTAAAAGAAACCTTTTCCATCCTGTCTATCCTCAAAACCCTCCAGTGATTTCCCTTCTCACACAGAGTAAAACCCAAAGCTTCTCACCTCAGCCTGTAAGACCCTGCATCTCACATACATGCACACGCACACGCTCCTCCTCTGCTTGCCTACATCCTCTCGCTCACACACTGGATCTTGTTCTTGAACTCACTCCACATGTTCCCTTCTGCCTTAGGCCTTTGCACTTGCTTCTTCCCTTCGGACCTCTGTCCCCCAGATAGCCTTATGGCCCCCTCCCTGACTCCCTCAAGCCTGTGTGTAAAGGCCATCTTATGAGAGGGTGTTCCCTGACCCCGTTGTATTAAACATAGTGTTAAACACACACACACTTTCTGCTGCTCTCTCTCACTGATGCTCAGCTTTTATTTTTCTTCATAGCACTTGTATATTAATTTCTTTTTGACCGTTTCCCTTCTGGATTGTAGTTAGCATATGAACAAGGTCTTGATCTGTTTGATTCAGTGTGCTACCCCCAGGACCCACAACAGTGCCTGGAATACAGAAGGCACGCTTTGAACATTTGTTCAACGAGTTCACGTTGCTTAAGCCTGCACAACTCTGACTTGTCCTTGCACTGAGAAAATACAAAATTCTGTAGTGTGCATTCAAAAAAATGAGTAAATAAGAGGGTTATTATTCCTGTTATAGAAAACAAAAGAAGTTGCAATGTGGACCGGCCCGGTGGCGCAGCGGTTAAGTTCGAGCCTTCTGCTTTGGCGGCCCAGGGTTCATGGGTTTGGATCCTGGGCGAGGACCTACTCACCGCTCATTAAGCCGTGCTGAGGCAGTGTCCCACATAGAAGAACTAGAAGGACCCACGACTAGGATATACAACTGTGTACTGGGGCTTTAGGGAGCAAAAAAAAAATTTTTTTTTTAAATTATGAAAAAAAAAAGCTGCAATGGAATCCTTTCAAGAAACAAGTTTTCTTGGTGCATTTAAAATGGGGTTCAATTCTCACAGATTCGATGCATGTGTAAATCCCCAGGAGTATTCTCATTGTGTTTTCAGAAGGATTCAGCTATCTTTCTATTATCTGAAGTAATTATATTATTAAATTGGACTGTCGATGCAGTTATCAGAAAATAATTCACATATTCTCCCAGGAGGAGGTATAATGTTTTAGATACTCTCAGGATTTAAATATGACATCTTTCCAGTGTCATCTTCCATATGTCATAGTTGTAAAAGCATCATGAATTTTGTAACAACGTTTTTAGGAGAAAATGAAATATTTTAAAACATTTTAAAATGTTTATTGATAGCATAAATTTATGCATATAAACTATATACCACTCTCTCCTTCAATATCTCATTCAAAATTTGAGTCTAACTCTTTCACTTTGAATCTAAGGATCCTTGTAAACCAGTTTGACCATTGACACTTATGCATAGCATTGGTGAGACCGGCCCCTTTCCATACTTTTTTTTTTTTTTTTTTTTTTTTGGGGAGGGGATCAGCCCTGTGCTAACATCTGCCAATCCTCCCCCCGACCCTTTTTTTTTTTCCTGAGGAAGACTGGCCCTGGGCTAACATCCGTGCCCATCTTCCTCCACTTTATATGGGACGCTGCGACAGCATGGCTTGCCAAGCGGTGCGTCGGTGCGTGCCCGGGATCCAAACTGGCGAATCGCAGGCCACCGCAGCGGAGCACGCACACTTAACCGCTTGTGCCACCGGGCCGGCCCCTCCTTTCCATACTTTTGATCATGATCTGCTTCAGCACCTTAGAATTGATCTTATAATTTTGAAATATATTGATGAGTGCTGGAGTTTATTCTAACATTCCTATTTGGTTAAACCTTTGTTTCATTTTTTCCTCCTTCTTCTCTTGAAAGTTAATTGGAAATGTTGTTTGGTTCCTGAGAGATGATCACCAAAATACACCCACCTCTTTTAGCTTTGAAAATTCTCTATTATATTCTGAGTGTCATTGTTTGCATTGCCTGGCACAAGACAAGTAGTCTTCTACATACATTGTCATTTTTCATGTCTTAGTGAAATACTTGTGAAGATACTTCAGTTGACTTTGAGAAGATACTTCAATTGACTTTGAGACAGTCAACTTTAAGTTAAAATTAAATGGAATCTGTTGATTAAGAATGGAACCTAATTTCAGCGCATGAGCAGATACCGTATAAGCATGCTGCCTTCACACAAATGTTCCCGTGCTGGCAGTGGGTACCACATCCAGCTGACTCCTTGCAACTGGCAAGGACCTGTCGATATCAAATATAAGATGCTTTTCATCTCAGAAATATAAAAATGTGAGAAATATAGGCCTTATTATCAAAGAAATGTATAGTTTAAAATTTTTTCATTTTCATGAGGAAGATCTGTTTTCATTGTCATCTGCGAAAGCTGCTCAATGGAAAATTAACCTTAATTGTGTGTAGGGATGAGCCTGTATTAGCGAAGTTCATCTCTGGGAAGTGCAGTGCATAGAGTCACTGAGTCACTAACGTCAGATGGAAGAGGGAGGAACAGCAGAGAGCTTGAAACGAATGTTGCTGCAGGTAAAGACAGGTGTCTTTTCCCCTTTCTACTTTTGAGGATTCACTGCACTTCTTATATTTGTGTGTGGGTTTTTCTGTTTTGTTCTTGTGTTTTGGTATTTTTCCTGTGCTTTATTATAGGTCTCATCTTTCTGTTGTCAGGCCACTTAACAGGCACCAGATCTTGCCGTTAATTAATGAAGTGTGCCTCAAAGTTAACTGAGAAGAAGACACAAGAATTAATTGTTTTTGGTTTTTAGAGGGTTCCCGTGCTGGCCTGCCCATCTTTGTCATGGCTCTGGCGGGGCAGTTTGTGAGTGGCTCCGTTAGCTGCCCAGTCAGGAGGGCGTGGCTGCCTTGTGTCTTTGACTGCCTCGCAGCCTCTTCGCCTCCATTCCCTTCTGTCAGTAAGTTTTAGGAGTTTAAATTTACTGGACTCTGGCCTGAAAGCCTTGGATTTAAAACTGGCATTGTTTTCATCTTTTGTTATTGAAATACTCTGCTATCATACTTTCATTTTAGGGTCAATTATGTGTATTTTTCTAAAATTCTAAGGTCAGTTATATATATATTCCAAAATTAGTTATGTATATCTATGCATCTGTCTGCATAACATATTGTTAATGTCTTAATCTCTCTTGGTCCGTTTAGTTTCTAGCCTTTTATTGTCTGCCCCAGGGTGAAGTAGGAATGGGTCTCAAGTTCCTGATATTCTTCCCATCTTTGATCATCTTTCATTATGTTTTTTATTTGCTCTTCATTTCAAAGCTTCTTCCTATGCCATGATTAATCTCTTTGTATCTTCTGTGCATATCAAATCGATTGTGAGTTAAACATCAGATTTAGGATGTGACCTGTTGATGGTAGATCTAAACTTTGTTTAATTTCCTCACACCTAACCCTTGTGATAATGTTTGGCTTAGGTCTCAGAGACTAGTTATTACTGATAATAACAATGCCTCACCTTCTATCCTGCTTATTTTTGATAAAGCACTTCCACATGATTTCATCTGATCCTCACTGCTGGTGAGATGAGGTTCTAGATTCAGTGTAACAAGCAGTAGGATTGGGAAGAGAACCTAAGTTTGGATACTCCTCGTGCGAGATTTTTGTTTTGTTTTGTTTTTACTGTACTACTTTGCCTTTTTCACTGAAAGTTTTGGAAAATTTTGTGTTGATAACAAATATTTTCACATGTTCTTCTAACTGGACGGTTTTCCTAACTAAGCTCTGGTTCTGTTGCCAAATGCTAGATGAAAGCTTTTGAGATCTGTGCTCGAGTCATGAGGAGGAGGGCTATTTTGTTAGTGCCTTATTCACCCCTAAAGAGTTGGATTACAGTGATAGCATGGTGTGGCTTTCACCTACAAGTCTGCCTCAGGGAAGCTGGCCAGTTTGGTTCAAGTACGTGTGGTATCCTTTCAAATGCCCAGCACTCGGTAGCAGTCCTTAGTCCTCCTGGTTTTGTAAGTTGCCATTCCCAGTAAGATAAGATGTTGGGTTTCTGGTCAGACTCTCTTCTTAGGTAAATAAAATGTTTACTAAAAATTACTCTTGTTGGACTTGGAGCAGGGGAAACAAGCAGTCAGTTCCAGCCTTGGCTGCATGGGTGTCTGTGCTTTGTTGTGGGTGCAGGGATCTAACAGGCTTTCTGCTGCGGGAATGCAAACTCTATCTAAAGCAATTCATGGAGAAGAGATAAAAATCATCAATTTTCCTTTCTCTTCTCCAAAGTTTGGGAGCCTCTGGTGGGGCAAGTACCTGGGATTCCTACAGTGACCATTTCACCATTGAGACCTGCAAGGAGACAGATATGCTGAACTACCTCATCGAGTGTTTTGACCGAGTTGGAATAGAGGAAAAAAAAGCACCAAAGGTAATACGAAATAGATTCATTTTAAAAACCTAGTTATTTGTTTGATAAAGAATCTTTTTCCCCCCAAGGAGCATTCATTCATTTCTTCAATCAGTAAAGTGGTCACTGAGCATCTACCATTACCAGGCACTGTACTAGGAGCTTGGTGTGTATCAATGAACAAAACCGACGGCAGTCCCTGCCCTCGTGGAACTCACACCATAGTGGATGGAAGAAGTGACAGGGCCAAGTGCCATTGCCACCAGCAACTTACATGGCCCTGATGATTTCTGATAATCTGTTGTAATCATTATAGTAATAACTAGCGTTCACGGAGTGCCTGTAGACTGCCAGACACTGTGCTAGGTCTGCATTAGCTCAAGTCTCACAGCTGTCCAGTTAGTCCAGTGTAATCCAGCATAAGATAGGTGTTTTTTCCGTTGTATGAATAAGCAGATGCACCTCAGAGAGATTAAGTAATTGTCCAGAATCACATAAATAGTAAGTTGCAAAGCTGGGTTTAAACTCAGTAAACTACACTTTTTCTTGACTATTTATTGCCGACTGACTTCATCGTTTTCTCATTTTATTCTTATTTCACTTTCTAGTTCTAGTTTTCCATTAGAAACTAATCTGGTTGTCCACCTGTTGGTTTCACATTTGTGAAGGGCCTCTTTGGGTTTGTTGCGCTTAACCTTAGCAAAAGCAAAGAATGGGCACATCTCCGAGATCCTGAGTGGTCACCTCAAGCTTACACTTCTTTCTTCTCTAACGTAGATTTCAGCAGAGGCAGTGTACTTGGATGGTACAGTGACTCTAGTTTCTTCATTATGAATAAAGGAAGAGAAAAGCATGCCATTTTCTGGAAATGGATCTCTTCTGACTCTTGTCAGTTTTCAACAGTATGGGGTCAGTTTGTCTGTCTTTGTAGTCCTAACCTCCAGCTTTCTTTTCAGATGTGCAGCCAGCCAGCAGTCAGCCAGCTTCTGAGCAACATCCGCTCACAGTGCATATCCCACACTGCATTAGTACTACAAGGTTCTCTCACACAACCAAGGTATGAAAAACCATTTGTGCTTGATGTTAGCAGGGAGAGGATCCTATCCATCAGTGGACATCAGGCTGCCCAGCCATGTTGGACCACCTTGGATAACACACTTCCTCACCTATGAAATGAAAGTGGTTGACTGGATGACCTCTGAGGTTGCTTTCCTTCTCTAAAGTACTATGAAAATAAAACACTTTCTATGCACCTTATTGAGATTGACGATTGTTGAAAAATGTCAGCATCAAGGCAGGAAATTAGTAATTTAGTTTAAAAGCCACTGCTTGAAATCAGTGGAGGTTTTTGATAAAATGTGCAGATCATCACTTTCCATGTATCACACAATCAATTTCTGCTATTAAGTAATAAAGTGTGGTGGAATAGGTAATTTGGGAATCACCCAAAGTACTACATTATTAATTATTTCTGAGAGTCCCATAAAGGTTTCAAGTTTAATAAAAGACCATTTGTATATTTCATTTCTTTTATGAAAAATATCTAAAGGAAAAGTGATGCAAAAATATGTAAAGGAAAAATGACAAAGTTACAACATTTATTCATTCTGGATGTTCTTACACATTATTTTCTGTACCATAGCCATATATTTTTAAAACTTGTCAAAGGGAAGGAAAATGATATACATGTACTAAAACTTAAAAAATGTTCTATGGTTAAAATTAATAAGATTTTTAAAAAGTCTTTAGCCAGTGCTAATCTTTTTTTTAATTGAATGAGGCATAAACAAGTAAAAGAGACATGTAATGCTTCATTTTTTTTTTTTTTTGATGTTTTAATAGTTTTTAACATTGTGAAATTTTGGGTTGTACATTTTTGTTTGTCCATCACCATATATATGACTCCCTTCACCCCTTGTGCCCACCCCCCACCCCCATGGCCCCTGGTAACCACAATACAGTTTTCTCTGTCCATGTGTTTGTTTATATTCCACATATGAGTGAGATCATACGGTGTTTGTCTTTCTCCTTCTGGCTTACTTCACTTAACATAATACCCTCCAGGCCCATCCACGTTGTTGCAAATGGGACGATTTTGTCTTTTTTTATGGCTGAGTAGTATTCCATTGTATATATATACCACATTTTCTTGATCCAATCGTCAGTCGAGGGACACTTAGGTTGCTTCCACTTCTTGGCTATGGTGAATAATGCTGCAATGAACATAGGGGTGCATAAGCCTCTTTGGATTGTTGATTTCAGGTGCGTTGGATAGATTCCCAGTAGTGGGATGGCTGGATCATAGGGCATCTCTATTTTTAAGTCTTTGAGGAATCTCCGTACCGTTTTCCATAGAGGCTGCACCAGTTTGCATTCCCACCAGCTGTGTATGAGGGTTCCTGTTTCTCCACATCCTCTCCAACATTTGTTGTTTTTTGTCTTGGTGATTAGAGCCATTCTAACGGGCGTGAAGTGATATCTTAGTGTTGTTTTGATTTGCATTTCCCTGGTGATTAGTGATGTTGAACATCTTTTCATGTGCCTATTGTCCATCTGTATATCTTCTTTGGAGAAGTGTCTGTTCATTTCCTCTGCCCATTTTTTGATCGGGTTGTTTTTTTGTTGTTGTTCAGTTGTGTGAGTTCTTTATATATTATGGAGATCAACCCCTTGTCAGATGTATGTTTTGCAGATATTCTCTCCCAGCTGGTGGGTTGTCTGTTCATCTTGATTCTGGTTTCGTTTGTCTTATAGAAGCTCTTTAATCTGATAAAGTCCCACTTGTTTATTTTTTCTTTAGTTTCCCTAGTCCGGGTAGGCATGTCATCCAAAAAGATTCCTTTATGACCAATGTCAAATAGTGTGTTGCCTATATTTTCTTCTATGAGTTTTATAGTTTCAGGTCTCACCTTCAAGTCTTTGATCCATTTGGAGTTAATTTTTGTGAATGGCGATAGCAGATGATCCACTTTCATTCTTTTGCATGTGGCTGTCCAGTTTTCCCAACACCATTTACTGAAGAGACTTTCCTTTCTCCATTGTATGTTCTTAGCTCCTTTGTCGAAAATTAGCTGACCGTATATGTGGGGTTTTATCTCTGGGCTTTCAATTCTGTTCCATTGATCTGTGTGTCTGTTTTTGTACCAGTACCATACTATTGTTTTGTAGTATGTTTTGAAGTCAGGGATTGTGATGCCTCCTGCTTTGTTCTTTTTTCTTAGGATTGCTTTAATGCTTCATTTTTTTTAAATGCTTTATTCTTAAAGGTCTTTATGTAGAAAAAGATGGATTCTTTGAAACTTTCTATAGTCTTTCATTAAAAAAGCCAAAAAGTGATTATTAACAATAAGAAGGGTGATCTTTTCCTAAAACTATTGTGTAGAATATTTGGGAGATTTAAAGTATAACTTTTGACTGGACAGTTGCTGCTGACGTGACATTCCGTATGTTCTGTTGTTACGCAGTAATGAGTTGATTCATCGCAGTCCTTGACTTTCATGAGTTCACAGGTCCATGCAGCAGCCGTCCTTCCTGGTGCCGTATATGCTGTGTAGGAATCTCCCATACGGCTTCATTCAAGAACTGGTGAGAACCACGCACCAGGATGAAGAAGTGTTCAAGCAGGTAACGTTTTGTGAGTTGGTTCCCAAAACTTTTAGCCTAAGAGTTTCTATACCAAGGCTGATTTCTGAATTCACTATATATGGAAAACTTCTGTTCCTGAATTTGAACATGCATGTATTATTTGCTCGGAGAGACCTGAGATTCCTTTCTTGAGGAAATCAGATTGACAGCTGCATTGTTCACATCATGTGTCCATTTTACCTGATCAGTCAAGCATTGAGTATTTTAAACAGCGTCTGTGCTCCGTGCTTTGGGAGCTAAGAAGAAATATAAGGCCCTGTCCCTGATTTCAAGAAGCTTTTAACACAAGAATACCAAGAGATAGCGTAAGGCAGGATGTGCATTTGCCAGCTGAGTAGTGTTGAAAATTAGTTCTCTGAGTTTAAGAAAGGAGATTAATAAACTAACGACCAAACTAGCTCAGTTGCAGTCTGCATGCTGCATAGAATCTTTGTCTTCTCACCACTAAACTGGGAATGATGTCTCAAATCTTATGAATACTTCATCCATTCCGCATTCATACATTTTTGATATCTCACTGTGTAAAGTCAAGTGAAAATGCAGATAGGTAATACTTAATAGTAGTAAAGCTGTTTACTTAGTCTTGAAGGTTTCTTCCAAGGTGAAACTTTGGCTTTACATTTTGATTGCTATTTTATGGCCTGTGTTGTAAAGTAAGGATTTTGCCACAGCAGCTTTCACACAAGCTGTTTCTCTTGATGAATGGATTTTTATAACATTTTCTTACAATTTCTTGTGTAATCATTTCTTTTTTTATGACTAGAAAGAATAACAAAGGCAATAGCTATAATTGATATGATTCCTTTTAATCTGTTTTTATACTCAGTGTTATTCGTCACTATTAATTTCAAGGCCTTTGAATTCTCAGGATTGTTTTCAAAATATTAGTAAAAGAATAATTCAGGAATAAAAACCCCAGTTAGTGTTGTGTACTCTGTATCTGGAATTCATTAACTGCTTATCTTAGATGATGGTCTTGTTGACTTCTAGGAATATTTAAGGTGGCATAGTGAGCTTTTCTTCTCTTGAAAGATAAGTGAGGTCTGATGAAAATAAATAACTGTCTTGAAAGGTTTAAGTGATATATGTGTAATGTGCATTAATTAGAATACTTCTCCTATTCAAAAAGTCATCACTTGAGGAACCCAGAGTAGCTTTAACTGTATAGAATCAGCGCCGTGAACAGCTGAAAGGGATATGTTATGCCTATTTTATTCATAAAGAAACTTACACAGAGGTTTTGAAATGACCTCTTTGTTTTTTTAAATTGTGATGAAATTCACATAACATAAAATTAACCATTTTAAAGTGTACAATTCAGTGGCATTTAGTACATTCACAGTGTTGTACAACCAGTGCAGACCTGTTTATTTTTAATCACAGAATTCTGATGCTTTTTCTGCCACTCAGTCTTGAATGCTGCTTGTCTTTTCTTGTTTATTACCATGTGTTTTTTCTGGAGAGAAGTGATGAGTAAAGTGGAGTTGCTGAACTGGAAAACAGCATTTTACCTTTTTGTCTTAAGAGTGTGGCCAATTTGAATTATTAAATCTTTTGTCTGAAATTTCAGTCTTTTGATGTTTGAGGTATTCACAGATAAATAAATGGAAATAAATAGCATCTAGAATTTAGGATTAGAGATGAATAGTTGTAGCATTTTTTATCAGTGCTGGGAGGTATTTATTTGAAAATAAGAGAATTATTTAAAATATGTAAGTCACACAAATAGTATAATGTTTGGCTATTTGAAAAATATGCCTAGTAATATTTTGTCTGTTTATTATAAATTAAACCCTACTTGCAAAAGAAAATAACTCTACTAGTCTCTACTAGTTAAAGATGTTTTATTTTATAACATTCCTGAAAAAAATGCTTAGAGATTTTTCTAGATGACCAATTCTGAAATTTATTTTTGGTGATTCTAGAACTTCTGTTTGTTTTTTTCTTGATTGCAATTTGGGCTTTTCTCACCCCACACCTAAGCATTACCTCTGCCTTTTTAGCTAGCTTATGAAAGCATATTACTTCTACCCTGACTGTTTGAGTTGCAAGAACTAGAGTGATCTCTTCCAGAGCTGTGTTGATATCTGAAGACACTCCAAGGCACTTTGTAATCCAGGGCACTTTTTTTTTTTTTTTTTTTTTTTTTTGGTGAGGAAGATCAGCCCTGAGCTAACATCTGATGCCAATCCTCCTGTTTTTGCTGAGGAAGACTGGCCCTTGGCTAACATCTGTGCCCATCTTCCTCTACTTTATGTGGGACGCCACCACAGCATGGCCTGACAAGCTGTGTGTCAGTGCACACCCGGAATCTGAACCTGCGAATCCTGGGCGAGGAAGTGGAGCGCGTGCGCTTAACCGCTACGCCGCCGGGCTGGCCCCGCAGGGCGCCTTTTTGTGTACTGTGCTCCCTAAATGACAAAGGTGGTCAATACAGTGGGATGAAATTAGTAGGAAAGGGAATTTTTGAGGTTTTCCAGTGGCTTTATAGAGCACTTCCTTTTTCAACTTGTTGACATTCAGATTTGTCAGCTGTTGTTTACAACATTTTCTACTTAATGTCGTTAGTCTTGAATCCCAACCAGCTCCCTAAATGTGTTGATCAGTGAATGCATTGTGAAACTGAAGATGAGCTGTGCTGAGCAAATTTTGCATAGTGTTCATGTGCCCTGGTATTCATGGTAAACTTGTAAAAGTAAATTTGAATGCCCTTAAGCTGTGATATCAGGTTATTGTGTTCATTCCACCATTTATGGAGGTAAGGCATTCTAATAAAGTTTTCTTTTTCAATTTCAACATTAACAAGCTATCTCTTTGCTCTACATAATTAATGTCGTAATAATAATATCCATTATTGGTCTGTTTTTCTTGTTCTCTTCAAAATAAACAGGGAAAAATGGGAAGAATTAGATGCAGGTGGGAGGGTGGCAACAAAGAATTTTTTAAAATATTGATAGTGGGGCCAGCCCCGTGGCTTAGCAGTTAAGTGCGCACACTCCACTACTGGCGGCCTGGGTTCGGATCCCGGGCGCACACTGACGCGCCGCTTGTCCGGCCATGCTGAGGTGGCGTCCCACATACAACAACTAGAAGGATGTGCAACTATGACATACAACTATCTACTGGGGCTTTGGTGAGAAAAGGGGAAAAAAAGGAGGAGGATTGGCGATAGATGTTAGCTCAGAGCCAGTCTTCCTCAGCAAAAAGAGGAGGATTGGCATGGATGTTAGCTCAGGGCTGATCTTCCTCGCAAAAAAAATATATATATATTGATAGAGTTGAGAAAATATTAGAACATTTAGTTAAGTTTCTTTACAGATTATAGGTGCTTGGTAATCAGAAACATACTCAGTGCTGAGATGTGCAGAATTTAGTTGATTCGAGCAAGGGCCCCTGGAGAGTCCTAAGCTGGCTCCAAAGTTGTGAGTTTCTGTTGAATCACTGGGGTTCCTGCCAGAGTTTTAGTGTTCCCCAAATCCTGTTACCTCTGGAGGATTCAGCTGCATTACATTATGGGTTAGCCTTATCAAAAGACAAAGCAACACTCTGTGGCTAGATTCTAGACTCCTTTATATGCAAAACAGCTTTTCCTTGGAAGGAGTGAAAATGTCTGGACGTTCAGATTCAGTGCTTTATTTGACATGCCTCCCGTTCTAAAATTTTCCTCAACTTACACTTCTGATTTTGTTGTTTGTTTTGTTTTTTCCTTATAGATCTTTATCCCCATTTTACAAGGCCTGGCTCTTGCTGCCAAAGAGTGCTCCCTCGATAGTGACTACTTTAAATACCCCCTCATGGTAAAATTTTGTTCTTTTTCTCTAACTCATCCAATAGATGTTTTTCTTCCAGATTATTTTAACATACACTTTTCTTTCAGGTCCATGATCAACCTTGTTTTCAAATTTAAAACATGAGATCACTGTGTTGGCCATGCAGTGTTTGGTGTGCAGTGAGATGCATCAGTGAAGACAGTTAGCAGCCCGGTACACGTTCCACTCATTCGAGCTCTAGACAGGAGTCAGTGACGCAGTCATTAAAATGTACTTCACCTTACTGTATAACTTATGAAAATGAGAATTATTGGTGGTATCCTTCTGATTCTCCTAGCAATGAGTATACCATATTTGGGATGAAATTTTGTTATTTAAAAAAAACTATTACAAATGCAAATAAAAAGGCAGAGTTACACTAAGAAAAGTAATACAATTTTATCTTAATGTAGTGACTTTCTACAGAAAATCTCACAGTAATTCTCTTGTTCATCTTCCCAGTTTCCTGAGGCTGTACATACACTTCACTTCAAGCTTTACTTGGAAAACACAGATCTGCTTATGTCCTTAAGGCACTTAGAGCAGGCTTAAACTGTGGACAGAACTTTCAGCTAGCTTCTCATCGAGGGCCTTGAGTGTTGTGAAAACGTTGGAACCAGAAAGAAAATTAGAGGCTCTTTTCTTCTCTGTATTTGTTGCTTTGAAATTTCGGGAGAAAAATACTTTGAAGTATTACTGAATACTTTTCATTCTAGAAATACAAAGGAAAAATATCAAAACATGAAATTAGCTCTCTATAAATACAACCTTGTGTAAATTGAGGCCTTGGTTAAATTGATATTTTCTACTGTAGTTGTTGTTCCTTTTACTCATTCTACTGTCTTAATTCCATCTTGCCATTAATTCATTACTCACTGAGGACCTGTTCTGTGCCAGACGCTGGGGACAGGGCATAGGAGCTAATTAGACAAGGTACCTCGATGCAAGGTGCTCCTCATCTACTGCAAAAATCAAGACCATGAAGACACAGCCAGATAATGACACTGAGATCAGTGCCAACACAGAGATGTACACAAAGGGTGCCTTCATCTATTTTAAAAAATCAAAACTGAGCTAATAAAAGGCTAAGACAGTGCTGGGAAATTAGAAGGTGAAAGGTGAATTCTTTTAAAAATAAGTTTGAGTGGATTTCTGTCAGGGCTCTTCCCATTGCACTTGATACTCAGGTTCCTAATAACCTTCTGTTGATCCTTATGCGTTGTTCTGTCTGTGGCAGGTAAAAGGAAGTGGAATAATCTGGCTGTTTGAGTCCAGTAGTGAAATATTTTAGTGCACGTTAATCATTATTGTATTGTGTAAATATTCCTTCATGGAATTGTTGGTTTTTCTGTTGTGGTTTGAATTAGCTTAATGTTCCACTAAGGAGCTTTTAGTGTTAGATATCAACAAAATGTTCTTCTTGGTCAAAGGACAAAAGCCTCCATTATGATAGACAACAGTTTTATTTTGTGCCATTATTGGTGCTTGTAGAACAATAAGAGTGCAGTGTGAGAAAAGACAATAATGAGAGGCAGGAAGAAGAGCTAAAATCAGAAACAATTGTGATTATTCTCTAGGTCAGTGGATCTCAACTTTGCCATACCTTGCAATCACCTGGGGATCTTTAAAAAATACCGATGCCTGGCCTCCAGCCATTCTGATTTAAATTCGTCCGGGATGTGGTAAGGGTATGGCCTGACGTTGGGCTTTTCACAGGCTTCCCAGGTGATCCTAATGTGCAGCAAAGCTTAGGAGCCCCTGCACTAGGCAGTGAGAACTTGTCCTTCTCAGTGGTTCTCTGGGCCTCAGTGGCTTCTCAAAGATGTGTCAGTGCCTAAATGCATTGACCCGAAAGCTTCCGTCAGCTGCTTTAGCAACTTTTATAGCTATGTCCAAGTCACAGAGAAAATTACATTCGCTGTTAAAACAGTATTTGATTGGATTACCATGGCCGTGTTAAACTGTGTTTGTGTCCTTGAAAACCATTCTTCCTGATTCTCAACGTAAGAACGATTAGAGCTCCAAAGGAAAATGTTGGAGTTCTCAAAAATATCAGCGATCTTGAAACCAAGTGATAGTTTTTAAAATGTTCTGACTGTGATAGCTTATTAAATTGTAATTATTTATAGTCCTGTTTAGCACTGGTAAGACGACTCATCTGAAGTTTATGAAGCATATCGTTTTGACATGGAAAGATGTCAAGTGAAAAAATAATTTTTTGTAAAAATATACACATTTTTCTCTGTATATATGCACAAAAATATGTCTGGGAATATGTCACTAAACTATCAGTAGAAGTTATCTCTTAGGGTAAAGTTTATGAGTGATTTTTAGTGTCATTTTATATTTCTGTATTATCTGAAGATTTTATAATGTACACATGTTAGTTTATTCCTCAGATAATCAGTGAAGCTGTTAGTGTTTTGGAGGGAATGTATTTGTATTTTTAGCAACATTAAAGCTGTTCCTTGATGCTATACACGGCAGTCAGTTTAAGATGAAATACATTTACTTGACTCTTTCTGATCTTATTTCTAGGCTTTAGGTGAGCTCTGCGAAACCAAGTTTGGGAAGACACACCCGGTGTGCAATTTGGTAAGTGCCTCCCTGATGGGCTTGCACATTTTCAATGAACTTATAACTAGAAGATATTCCTTAAGTAACATTTTCTGAAAAACGTCTCTTGGAGGACATTTAGAGGTGGGTAACGTGTAGGTGGCTCTCAGCTGTTAAAATTATTGTCCTATATGTTATTTCCTGGGATGAAATTATTTACTTTCTTTTGTGTTTTTTTTTGGATAAGTGTTGTTCAACTAGAATAACAAGTCCTACGGGAAAAATTTACTTGAGTCCTTTGGTAGTATAAGAATAGTTCATTTCAACTCTATCAAAGAGTATCTTGAAACATAAAAATTAAAAGAATATCTTATAAATATGTAGAGGAGTTAGAGGGTTTTCCTCCATCTGAGATCAGAGAATACCAATAAGGATTCTCACATATTTGTGAGCCTTGTGTTTTGGAAGTTAAGTGTCAGCCCTTGTGCTGGCGGCTAAGAACCAGCTGAGCAGGTTGGTGGTCGAGAACTCTCTTCGTCGCATTTTTACCTCTCTCACTGATGTAGCAGCTTGATTTGCCTCTTCCATTTTTTTGCGTAGGTTGCGTCTTTGCCACTGTGGTTGCCTAAATCCTTAAGCCCTGGCTCTGGGCGGGAGCTGCAGAGACTCTCTTATCTGGGGGCTTTCTTCAGCTTCTCAGTCTTTGCGGAAGATGATGTAAGTACAGTGGCCATTTGCACTTGGCTGCTCTTATGTTCAGATTCCTTCCCAGATGCACATTATATGTTGATGGAATTTTTCCCTTTTCTTTCCAGGCTAAAGTGGTTGAAAAATATTTCTCAGGGCCTGCCATTACCCTGGAGAACACTCGCGTGGTTAGCCAATCACTGCAGCATTACTTGGAGCTGGGAAGGGTAGGTGTTTGGAAAATGAATCCAGAGGGTGAATATATCTTCAGTTCTGAAACTTAAAAGCAGCAAAATTATAGGCTAATTATAGCATAATTAAGGTAATTTGGTCCTATCCTGGAAAGGAAATAGCAGAGGCTATTTTATTAAAACTATAACTACTTACCTCCTCCACCTCATGTTCTGTTTTCATGCTAATTATCTTGACACAGTTGAAGATATTCTTCTATTCCTGTTGTAGTCAGGTTCTCCTAAAATGAGTGGATGTGGGAGAAGAGAGACAGTGGGAAGGAGGCTAGCTTTTCTTGAAGTCAAAAAGGAATAATTTTTTAAATGAAGTTTTAATTTTTTTCTTTCTTTTTAAAATAAATTTCAGCAAGAGCTTTTCAAGATTCTGCATAGTATTTTGTTAAATGGTGAAACCCGTGAGGCTGCTCTTGGTTACATGGCAGCTTTCGTCAATGCCAATATGAAGAAAGCACAGATGCAGGTAGGATTCCTAAAGGCTACTTTTATTTATTCCTTAAGTTTATTCATGTCACTCATGTTTATTCAGTACCTACCAGGCATTGTTCTAGGAAATGGAAATACAGTGTTGAACAAGATAGACAAGCTTCCTACTTTTTGGAGCTTAAGTTCTGTAGGGTGAATGAGTAGACATATAAAGATATTATTTCAGACAGTCAGAGAATCTATGAAGCAGATAAAGCAAGGTAGAGGACTTGAGAGTAACCGTGGAGGTACCAGAAGGAAGGTAAGGGAGTGATTTTTAATCTAGTGGCAGGGAAGGCCCCTTTCAGGAGGTGACATTTGATCAGAGACCTGACTCATAAGAAAGAGCCAACCATTGCAAGGCTGAGAAAAGAGCTTTCTAGATACATGTAAGGCACTAAGGTGGGAATGAACTAGCTTTGGAACAAGCCCCACATGCAGGCCTTTGTGGCTGGAGGATAGTGAACAGGAAGAGAACGGCGGGTCATAGGCTAGCGGGGTTAGCAGAGGCTCCATCAGGTTGGGTGGATGTGGTACGAACTATAATGGGAAGACACTGGAGGGTTTTTCAGCAAGGAAACCACTAAATCTGTGGAGAATGGACTAAAGTGGGAGGAGAGGCAGGAGCCAACCGAAGGAAACCGGTTACAAGATTTACGCAGGCACCATTCCTAATGAGGGAGGCTGGTGCCTTGGACTACTTTACCAGAATAGAACACTGAAAAGGACATCCTTCCTGTATTATTAATGAATGAGGTGACATTTCTACTCAGAAGAAGAAAAGCAGAGAGAAGAGCGTGGGCCTGGTATTAGACTGCCTGGGTTTCCAATTGTGCTTCCACCGTTTACTAACAGTGGGACCTTAGACAGTTACTTCTCTGTGCCTCCGTTTCCTCGTTGCTAAGTGGGGATAATAATAGTACCTAACTTGTGGATTTACTACGTGTAAAGCTGTTAGAATAGTGCCTAGTACATAGTGAACACTCAACCAATGTTAACTATCTTTATTGTGGTTGTTATATTATTAACGCAGGACTATGTAGTGCTGTTGGCTAGGGAAACTTAGTCAGGGGGTCACAGTAAAATTAACTGTTCTGATGCTCTTGAGGGGAAATGAAGAGAAAGGAAGCAACGTTTACTGTGTTTCTGTTTACTAATTTTGAGGATCTTAGGCAAATCACTTAAATTCTCTGAGCATTAGTTTCCTCCTCTGTAAAATGTGACTAACAAGATCACTGACTTCTAGGGGCTGTTGTGAAGATTGAGTGAGAGGGTGTATAAAATGCTTTATATATGATTAACACTCAACACATAGCACCTGCTAGTAGAGTGACAATGGTGACAGTATATATGTCCTCTGATTGACTTTAGGATGAAAGTGCGGTCTCCTTTCTTGTAAAGTTGTGCCTAAATTTCTATTCAAATCATTATTTTAAATATTTCCTTTCGTACTCTGCAGACAGATGATAGACTGGTGTCTACAGATGGATGTATGCTGAATTTTCTTTGGGTGCTGCAGCAGCTAAGTACAAAGATCAAGTTAGAGACAGTCGACCCCACGTATATTTTCCACCCAAGGTGTCGGATCACTCTGCCCAACGATGAGACGAGAGTGAACGCAACAATGGAGGATGTGAACGACTGGCTGACTGAACTCTGTGAGTGATATGTTCATTGTTAGTCATTAAAACACTGCCCTTCTATTTTTAAAATTAAATTAAAAATTTTTTTAATTAAAAAAATAGAAGGGGTATACATCCTGTATCAGAAGGATATAGTTGGACTCAGAGCATCATCCCACAGTTGGATTTGACACCAACTGCAGCATCCTGTGTGTCACCTCCCTGCCGCCACCGCCTTGCTCCTGTCCTCCGTCATCAGTGCCAGTTTTCACTGACTCCTCTACCCCTAAAGCTGTGACATCAGACTCGGGCTTCTTTACCTTCCTAAGGTTCACCCTGTGAGGGGTGTGTGTGCAAGGTGGGGATATGTCTAAGGACTTGATTGCTTGTCTTGCTCAGGAAGTCAGCATTACTGATATTTACAAGTCATAACTTTTTTTGTGTGTGTGAGGACAGTCAGCCCTGAGCTAACATGTGCCAATCCTCCTCCTTTTTTTTTTTTTTTTTTTTTGCTGAGGAAGACTGGCCCTGGGCTAACATCCGTGCCCATCTTCCTCCACTTTATATGGGACACCACCACAGCATGGCTTGACAAGCGATGCGTCGGTGTGCACCCGGGATCCGAACCTGCGAACCCCGGGCCACCGCAGCGGAGTGTGCACACTTAACCGCTTGTGCCACCAGGCCGGCCCACAAGTCATAACATTTTATGGCCAGATTTTACTGGCCAGTACAAAGCTATTTCTGAGTCTTGGTACATTTTAACCAAAGTGTACGCAACATCATAACCAAGAGATTTTAGTGTGCCTTCCATTGTGACCTTCCCTTACATTCCATAGGAAATTTCTTATTCATAGGCTTATGGGATTATCAGGAAAAGAACTTTAATAAATATCATAATAGCAGCTATACTGTCTTCTAGTTAAATATGAGGAGACTAGGTTTTAAAGGGTGCCAAGCTCACCTAGCCTGTTTTTCAGGTCTTCTAAGCCAAATCCAGGGCTCTTTCTGCTCTACCACACTGCCTGGTCACAATTCGTTCTTCTGGATGTTTAATTAGTTTGGTTGCCGTTTCTATTTTTTCTTTTTTTTTTTTGAGGAAGATCAGCCTTGAGCTAACATGCATGCTAATCCTCCTCTTTTTGCTGAGGAAGACCGGCTCTGAGCTAACATCTATTGCCAATCCTCCTCCTTTTTTTCCCCAAATCCCCGGTAGATAGTTGTATGTCATAGTTGCACATCCTTCTAGTTGCTGTACGTGGGACGCGGCCTCAGCATGGCCAGAGAAGCGGTGCATCGGTTCGCGCCCGGGATCCGAACCCGGGCCGCCAGTAGCGGAGCGCATGCACTTAACCGCTAAGACACAGGGCCAGCCCAGTTGCAGTTTCTTATGTTTGTCAGTAGTGAACGAAGCAGTCTAATTCTTTATGAAATTTCTGTTTTCACTCAGGAGACCTGATTTCAGATAAGCCAGGCAGACTCCAGAGTTAGTATCTGGGCTCTTGGGGTCAGGGCCGGGGTTGGGGGAGTTACAGAGTTGTAGAGAAGATCAAGGGGAGTTCTCTAGATAGCAAGCTGCCCAGAGAAAGGCTGGAGCTGAGGAAGACCCTTTCTGAGGAAGGCCCCTTCTGGAGGGAGGGCCTGTGGGAAGGAGGAGGAAGAAGAGAGCCTTCGCTGCTCCAGCTCAGCTGCTTTCCTGGCTAAATGTGGTCGTGACCCAGAGAGGTCCAGAGACGCAGAGGAAGGGAATGCAGAGGAGTAAAGATAGAAGAGACAGAAGAGAAGGAAAGATGGCTCGCAAAGGGAAGTTATGGAAGCTTGTGACAGACAAAATGTATCTGAGAGAGATGATCAGGAAAACAGAAAAGTAGAAATGCAAGAGAAATGGACACCATATTTTATGTTGCAAAAACTCAAAAATAATGATACTGGGTTTGAAAGTGATTCCTAAGTAGGGGGAAAGAATGACTTTGTGTTTTTCCATTTTTGTGTTTAGGTACAATCCCAAAGAATCTGTCGATACTGGGCGTGCTGTTCATTCACCTAAGTGGGCCACATCCAGCTTATGTGGTTGGGTGGTTCACAGGTGCCCCAGTTAAGAAGTTAGAGTTTATAGAGTCTAGAAAGAGAAATTTTTATTTTGTTTGGTTGCCAGTGATTCCTGACAAATTATTATTATCTCTCTAGAAAATGAATTTATCAGGTAGAGATATGCAATAAAAATTAATACAGTAAAAAAGTTCTTATTTGGATTGGCCAAAATCAAATAGACACATAGAATAAATGAATTTAAAATATATATATATTTATAATAAAAATAATAGCAGTGACTTAGTTGTTATATAGGTTTTATATATGCCAATTAAAATTCTCATGAACTATTTCATAGATCTTGATGAATGGATGGTATAAATTTTTTTTTTTTTTTTTTTTGGTGAGGAAGATGAGCCCTGAGCTAGCATCCACTGCCAATCCTCCTCTTTTTGCTGAGGAAGATTTTTCCTGGGCTAAGGCTAACATCTGTGCCCATCTTCCTCTACTTTATATGGGATGCCGCCACAGCATGGCTTGACAAGCGGTGCGTTGGTGCGTGCCCAGGATCCAAACCTGCGAACCCTGGGCCGCCGAAGCGGAGCATGCACACTTAACCACTATGCCACCGGGCTGGCCCCTGGTATAAAAATATTTTGAAGGTGTTAGGATTGTTGATCTTTTTCTCCATATTATAAAACATGTTATTTAATGATAGACATTAAAACACTACGGCATTTTTAAATATTATAAAGTTATTCATGGAATAGGATAGAGATTGCATGCTCACCTGGCAGTGGCAGCATCATGATCAGATATACACATTCCAGAAAAATACTTAAACTGTCATAAGGACTAAATATTTGATGAACAGTAAAGTCAGTATTTGATTAATGTTGTTTGAATGAGTAGCTTTTGTTTTTTTTTTTTTTTTTTTTTTTTTTTTTTT